ATATTTACGTATGTAGGAGAAAAGGAAAAAAGAAAAATTAAACGGATATCGATTGCGCTAATGTGAAAAAGTTTCCAATCGAAGGATATATTTGGAAGCTTTTTGAGACTCGCTAACCACCATCAACGATACAGAGAAGATAGCGCTAACGCGATTCCAATTCGATTCGAAAAGTCCGCGATATAGTCAAACTTGCCGCAATTTATTCTCCGCGAGAAAACTCTTCCCTCTTCGAAACGCAAACGTTGAAGCGAACAATGGGGAAACGACCAAACGGAAAGAAAGAGAGAATAAAAAAAAAAGAACCATCGAGCGTAATTTCAATTACCGCGTTAAAGGAAGCCGCAGAGCGGCAGCTACTCTCGAGTAGCTGACACGGACTGCATAAAAGAAACCCACCCTTAACGAGGGGCTGGCCTGAAAGGCGGACCCGCATCGGCAAAGGGTCGGGGGACGAGGGCCTGGCCAGTTTTCGACGCGTTCCGCGAAAACCTGCTCCTTTGAGGGTGTATCCGATAAAAAGAGGTTCTGGAGGGCCCGGCAAAGCCGGGCTGACCGCGATTTCCATTGCGAAAAGCGGAAGGAAAAGGACGTGGGCGGGGTGATCGATCGGAAGCCGCGCCCGCGGCGAAGAACGCCTGGGCTTGGCGATTGTGCTTCATGGAATCCTGTCTCGAGAATTCTCGCAGTTTCTTAACAAATTTCCACACCCGCCCCCAGTTTATCGAGAAACGAATCTACGAAATGTAAATTAAATCTGGTGAAAGTAAAAAATCCGAAGACGCGACCGCTAGTTCGGGTTGCTTTCAACCCGGAGGAAAAGGGTGTCCCTCGAGGATATAGCAGCGAGTTTCGCGGGATTTCCTGGGAACGAACTTCGGATCGAGCGAGAATAGAGGCGAAAAGTAATTTGCGAACGGAAAAGCGTCGGTTTTCTGCGGGTTGGAGAGCGCTCCGGGGCAGACGGGAGTTTTAAATCGTCTTCGGGGGATGATTCTTTGGTCGTCGAAACAGCTTTATTATGATTCGGAAATCGATACTCACCCGCCTTCACTTCGTCGATCGGCGAGCTCGAAATTGCGATTGCAATTTTTGAGACGGCGGGGAGGAGCCTTTGGCTGGAGGAGACGTTCCTCGACGATGAGACTTTAAGAACGTTTTATTTCTTGACATCGATTTTCTTTAGAAGCGAACGTTTCTAATCGGGGGTCGAAATAAAAATCCAAGGTGTAAAATAAAACGGAATAGTTGATAGACGCTTGGCTAAGATCGTAAACCAAGGAACCCGACCCAAGGATTTTCCTTCGAGTTCACCCTTTCGTGTGTCCTTATTCGATGGAAATGACGATTTTCACACAATTTTTCGATCTTCAACTTTTATCAGCGAGTTACGCCCGCCTTCTCTCGGGAGGGCCGAGAATTATCGACAACGGTAGATAGTCGTTAAAGCCGAAACGAAAAGTAACGAGAAAAGGCGAAAGATTTCGACGTGGCCGATATCCCACCCATATCCAGATCCTGAGCTCGTAAATCGAGATTTGTGGCGGGCACCGTGCAATAACTCCGACACCAGACTGGAGCGCTAGCCCCGATTACTTTTTTAGATATATTTGACACGCGAGTTAATCTCTGGAATTTGAGAAAAAACCGTCGACGTTAGACATGAAAACGCGCTACCGACGAAACAATTTCCGAGACAATCGGATTCCCGTATTTCCATAAATTCCCTCCGCGTAAAAGTTGCAACGGTATCGCGTGCTTCGGCGAGAAGTTTATTCGGAATTATTACAGAAAACTGTACCCCGGAGAAATAAGTCCTGGTGGCTTTCAAGTTTTAATTCGGAGTAAAAAATAATCACGGAATTAATCCCAGGCTGAGTCTCACCACCGCGAATACGAGTCGACCAGGGGGTAGACAAAAAATATAAAACGTTTCCAAGACACGGACCGATCGATACCTTCTTCTCATGCAACGGACGCACCCCCGTATCGCCAAGGCGCAGCAACGAGCTCTATGAACGCCAACTTTCGACCTCTTCCGTATTCCTAGCGATACCGATGTTCCACTATCGAAATTTCCCATCGACGCGCGTCGTTCCTTAAAAGCTTCCGGGCCTGGGAAATATCCACGTCGATGCTGTGTACATCAGTGCTTCCGCTTCTCGTAAAAAATGTTTGATCGTTCAACAAATCACGAATCCATTAGCGTCGGATGTGGTCGTCTTCCCTTTGCGCGCTTCAACATTTTTATTCCGCTTTTGGTACCGTTTCGCGAGGAGTCTGATCGTTAAGTGTCGGATATGGTTGTTTTTGGTATCGAGTGTTCCTCGTTTCAACCGATATTTTATTACGCTATCGAAGTTTTCCGCAGGCTACGTCTCGAATATCGTATCGATGTCTGTCTTCGACGAACAAATTTAGAATCGAGTAAGAATCTCGAATAAACTTCTCCTTCGTCTTCATTCACTTTTTCATCGCGGCAGCCCCTCTCGAGCAACGTCTACGATCGTTCTGTCTCCGAGTAATCCGTTCTGGACGTCGTCACGCGAGGCTCACCTACAACGTCGCGTTCTCGAGACCTGTTTACGTAAGTGTGAATAAGACGTGCCGCATTCTAACGGTGATCTATTTACGTCCCCTGCTCTCCGAAATCCCAGCATGCGGCCCGAACAGACCTAATTTTATATTCGGAGCAAAAACTCCGGCACCATTGCCAAGTAGAGCTCAAACAATCGACTCCTTCGGCTACCTCTGTCACCGTTTCATGCGTTAACGCTGCGCTTCGTCTAACCCGAATACCTGCTATGCCAGGTCAGAAGGAAAGTTCTGCATTCATCGATAGAAACCTCTGCGACAGCGTGTGCAACCGAAAAAGTTGTGGTAAAAATGACAACGATACAAAAGGTATACGACGCGCGCGAGGAATGTATCGATCGACATTTTATTTGCGTTAATTGGTATTCCCGAATTTGCACAGAACGTATCTCGGATCGCACGGAGAACTGGTAATCCACAGTTTGGGAAACTCTGCTATAGAGTTCGTGCTCTGCTGGCTTTTCCGATTTTTCGCGGCTGCTCTCACGGCACTTGAGTCGTATTCAAAGACATTCGAGTGCTAATCAGCCGCTGAAAGAGTCTTTCGAATTTTTATCTCCATTTTTGGAGCTCCCTACCCGTTCAAGCATTCGTTTTCTTTCAGGCGAAGTTTATTACCTTGTACCGTTTCGGTTGCAGCGAATTTCTATTATATAAGTTGTTACGTATCGACATCGAATTCGCAACAACGGAATTGAATTTTCCCCCCTACGGGTGCGTTTTCCAAACAAGCGTTATCCAAGTTCATCGTGCATTCATCGCTCGCGTAACAGTCGCCACTCGCAGTTTCGAATTATCCGCCATTCGAGGCACGATCGAGCACGGGGAACTTTTCCCGTCAGCTAGTTGGAGGAAATTTCGACCGGAAGTTCGGAAAATCGCGGCCCCGTCCCGGTCGGGGAAACGAGCGTAACAGCCGAATCGTCGTTTACTATGGTTTCCTATCGCGTTTCCGACTTTAAGCTTCCCTTTGTAATTGGATCGGAGAAACAAAGAATGGGGGTAAAGTTTGGCGGTCGAGACAGGATTAATGCTCGCCACGAGGACAGCTTTGAGAGCTTTGGCGGCAACGGAAACGCGACAACCAGCTCTCGAGGATTTCCGCCACGGAAAAGCAAAGGTAATCGCGGGTACCCGAGCTTACATTACGGAAAATATGTATTCGTCGTTGGGCGCCTTGGAATGTTCGATATCTCACTTTTATCCGATCTGTTTTTTAAATTTTCTCGCTTGTTTGTCTTGGCCGTACGCGTAGGATCTTTTACTCGCCTCGCTTCGGTATTTTATCCCATGTTTATATTAATTCGTACCTCGATGATGACTAAAGAGCCCAACTGGCTCGTTCGTCATTATTAATTGCTACATCGAATTCGTGTTTCTGGCTCGAATTTGTCACCCACCGGATTATATATAGCTCGCCGGCGAGCATTCTATTTTCACGGGTCGATAAATAATTGCATTCGGATGCGTAACAACCGCGCTGCATCTTGCCAAGAGTCGAAGCCGAGGCCTGTCAATTAGAACCACCGATGACGATAACGGTATCGATAAGTTGAAATTAATTTAACCGATAACGAAGACGCCAATACGCTCTCGAGGCGCACCAGAATGCAGATTATCAGCGAAAGACAAATGCATTCGAAAGGGACAAACTGGCCTGGAAATATTCATGAGCGAGTTCGATGCGTGTTACGCGATGCGTCCCCTGTTACTGGTACGCGTGAGGAAAAACTGTGCACGTACACGCGCTCCTTAAACGGGTTTCACGGACGATACGTGTTTACGGTAAACGCGCACAATCGAAAGTAATTAATGGTAAATTTAATTCCATCGAGTAATTCACCCAAGTCTTTGCGTTAATTAAAAGAACAGTAAAAGTGGCTCTCGCGTCGTATTCTCCTTTCGTCTGTCGACGAGGAAGTTGGACATCGAACGCGCAACAGCGAGAGACACGTGCCGCGAACGACGCCGTAAAACGACGCGTGCATCGCGTCGAACGATTCGAACGGCGAACGCTGCATAATCCTTCGCGGACGTCGATTAGCCGCGGCGGTGAAGCATTTTCACGACGCCGCGCGTTGTAAAATTTATCAGCAAAGATCTCAACCACGATAACATCCCTCTGGCACTTTAATCAACCGCGGCAATAAATCGTATCTTCCGTTATCGAGCATTCTTTGGAAGACAGAAGTCTGACCCGGAATCTTTCGCGCAAAGGACACTTGGTCGAGAATTATTGCTCAAATCTACTCTCGAAACAAAATTTATAATCACAAGACCGTGGTAAATGGATTTCGAAATTTTAGACTGACCCATGCAGTCTGTACCGCACTAGGATAGACTACTGCGGTCGGTTAGCTTGTTTCTTTATTATCGAGACAGCGATTGTCGTTGAATTTACTTACTTAGAGAACGAATACCATGGGTTTGGAGTTTTGGCACCAGGGATATTCTCCAAGGAACGAGATAAAATGTAGATTGCTAGTAATCCTTACCTGCAACACATAAAACAAGAAACAATTAATAAAGTTTCCAGACGCACCGATGAAGGTAGAGCAACGTTCATTTTGTTTCAGTACAAAAATCTTGAAGTAACGTTGCGACGAACCACGATAGGATTTACAGCTAGGTGTTAATGTTAACAGACAGAGATCTATTCTCGTCGAGGTCGACTATGTTTAGAGAATTCGAGATCGTTTACCTAATATAGATCTAAGGCGATGGCAGCGCTATCGACTGCGCGAAATTTGGCTGCGCCTTCCGTGAGCTCAGTTTTCATTATTCCCCTATAATTGTGGCGCGATTTACTTGGCAGTGACCACCCTTGGCCGGTGCTCAGCTTCTCAACTGGCCTTTAGCGAATCGTTTCCGAGCATCGCCATTTTACTCGACGATATCGACTTCTCAGTGTACACATTTTACTAGAGATTGTGTCAAAACTAACATACAAGCTTGCACGTAAATATATATCCAAGTCGATATTCTTAACACTTAAATTTCTGTTACTTTCACATCTACTATACATTAATTGCTCAACAGTAAGGGTTTCGCAATTATTTATCTACGACGTACCCCCTAGCTGCTAAATTCGGCTCGAACGAAAACTTAGAATTACTCGAAGCCTCTATGCATACCCGATACCCATCGAACGTCATTGTAATCGATCGAATCGATCCTTCAACGTCCGCCAGGCTGACCCTCGACCAACGTCTCTCGAACGGAACAGACGTCGATGGAGTAATTATTTCTCGCCAGGCACGTTAATTTACGACCGGTCGTAATTTCTGCCAGGCTTTTTGCGGGCGTCGACGCAAAAGGTCGGACTCGACGAATCGCCGTAGAGTGTTTAAATCTCTTTAACGACAGCCACGCGGCGGCCGATCGTTAATTAACGGAGGGAACCTGGCCGCGAGAAGCATCGTGATCTCGGCGCCTTCGCGCGAGACGCGGTGACTTTACCAGCGACACGTTTCGTTATCTGCCAAGACGCGAGATAAAAATTCGTCGTTCGCGATAACGACGAGGGAAAGGCGTTTTCCAGTGAGACCGTCGTTACTTGGAAGCGTTACCCAACGTCGATAATTCTTTTTTTCTCCGCGCCGAGTCGTTGCGTCACGAGAGAGGAATGATCGTTATCTGCTTGGTTTCTTTGCTCTTCTCCGCGACTGTTGTTCCTCCTCGTTTTTCCGTGGATTTTGAAAAAAGAGTGCGTCGATAGGTCGATCGAAGCGAGGATGCGAAGCGATCGCGGGAAACTGGTGGATGGTCTGACCAACAAGGGCTGCTACTACTTGCCGAATTTTCTCCCAGGTACAGCGGGACACGCTGATTGTTCGATTGTTCTATAAACCTAATTCGATCGTTTCGAGTACTGGAATACTCTCAGCATCGATCGAGGGACTCGAGTTACTCTAACGCCTCGAATGTTATTCGATGGACTTTTCGAGACAACAAGCACACGTGCATATTCGTATGTAAATGTCTAACGTAATAATTACGTACGTACTTCCATTTGTTGGCAATTTCAACGTACGAAATTATCAATTGCGCAACGCGTCTCTGTTGACGACAAGTTGACGCACATCCTCTGTTGTTTGGAATTCGCGAAGAACAATTTACAGTGGAATTAAAATCGAGACGCCTGATCGCTGCGTTTGCTCCGGAGTAAACAGCTGAAAAATAAAATGTCGAAGACCGAGCTGTTGGAATTAAAAAAAAAAAAAAAAAAATCACGCGATTTATAATAGTACCGGTGTCCTACGATAACGCGTTAACGAACAGCGAAGAGACAAGGTGCGACAGATGTCAGTTTCCACGATGACGCGGAGTTCTCTCGATAACGACGCCGACACGGGCAACAATTATTCCGTTTTGCCGTTTTCACAAGCCGTTCCAATTAATCCGCGGTCGCGTATCAATTAAAAGTAACGTTTTTATGCTCGGACATGGAATTACACGTAATTTCCATATGCCATTCTACAATCTCCGTTCGTGTTAATTAATAATCTGCGTCTATAGAGCGCGTTTGCATGCAACTTGGCGCAGGGAACGATAAACGTAAAAATATTTCAAGCACGAAGGAGAAGATGATACATCCTGGTGATCGATGAAGGAAACGAGCTCGCGCGGAAGGGTGAAAAGAAGACAAAAGAAGTTGAGGGAGAACGAAAGCGGAGAGGAACAACGCCGATATTCGGCGACGAGAGATAACCGCTGCACGTTAAAGGGTTGCGGGTTCAGGATCGATGCTATCACGAAATTGGGATCGTGGGCACGCGATACCGTCTCTGATAACGTTTCATCGGCCCCCACTTCCTCGTCGTGATATCAGTATCCGGTTGTCCTTCTCTCGCTGCGTAATATCGCTCGACGACGTTAATCGCGATAGAGCCGCTATATCGGTGCGTGCACGCGTGTAAAACGCCCCGATAAACTTCGACTCGAGCGGATAATTTCCACGCCATCGATTGCCATCTCTCTCGCGTGAATTTTCGAGAATATTTTAACAAGTTTGTATATCAAGAAGCAACGTTGAAACGGTGTTACAATTCCAGTTTTCACCTACTGTTGGAGAACTCGCTTCGTTTTGACCCGATATGGACCAAAAATAGAGAGATCGAAGCGTCCACGTAAACTATTTAAAAAAATATTCTGGAAGTTTTAAGCAGCTATTTATTCACCCACGAAACGAGCGAGTTTATTTATAAACCGTTTTCCATCAGATATCGGCCATCTCACGATAACAAAATAATGTTTACGGATCTACAAAACACAATACGTAAAAGTAGGTATTAATTCCTTTACCATCGGCTGTAACGATAGCCTGGATTATATAACAGACAGCGAGTAGACGTTCACTTCAGATCGATCGTAATAAAAGGCATAAGATAATCGGTACATCGATTGCATAGATACGAGGGAAGACACTTTGCGCAAATTAACGACTTTATCTATTCAAATGGGTATTTAAGTAAATTCTGACGCATTTAAATTTCATTTTAAGTCCCTGTTTTTTATTTGTCTTAGACTTCCGCAAATTGAAAACGCATAACATAAAATGTATTTCCATTTTCCAAGTGAATCTTAAACGTACCTATTATTCCAACGAAACGGAAAGGATCACAGATACTGGGAGACGGTTCGAAGATGCTGCGTTTGGGGAAAGATTTCGATTAATCGTGTTATATTGCGTTCTTCGTCGTCTCTTAAGACCTCTCGTTATCACTTCAGGGTTAATTATCATCACGCGAGATCGTCGTAATCTTCTTGATAATTCTTCGCGATTACTCTGAATTGAACCTTCCACGAGATAAGAGCAACGAACGACTGCTTACGAATTTTACGATACAGACATGGAATTTTACCTTCCGACCGATACTCGACGATTACGAACAAAGCGTAAGTGCGAGTAACAACTCGAATACAATTCGAGTAGAAAATTACGAAATTGCCTCACGAAAGACGTCTGCGAAAGACTCGAATTTGCATGACATATGACATGTGTCCCGAGGATAATGCTTTTCATTCCGATTATAATACCTGGACGCGAAGCGTGAAACACAAATCACCATAAAACAAAATTTACATGCCAAACCTGTTCGGACCGCGAGACGAGCTGAATATTAGTCGAATAACAGGTGACTCGAAACTCTGCGCAATTCATTCGCAAACGACTAATATTTTGCCCGGGTCTGCTTCCCATCGAAGCCACGCGACTTCTGCTTCGCTTCGGAGACCCGAATTTATTTCACACGGCGCTTCGTCGTGATAACGAATTTCGCGAAATTTCCCAATAAATTTATCAGCGGCGCAATTCGCCGCGTTTCCTGAGAGTCGATAACGTTCAACGTTTAATGCCCGCGCGTTTCGCTCTTTACGGCCTGTTTTTAATCTCGTTCGCGAGCCATAATTCGCCACCCCGCTCGCTGTCTCTTTTCCAGGCGAACCGCGAAACCATCCCGAGCACGGAACAAACGATGGTCATCAAGGGAACAAATAAACCAACCGAGGGAAAAGCGACGCGAACGATCATTGATCGTGACGCGTCGCGCGACAACGAATATTTCTCGCGATCGTTGATTCACAGTTGAAAAAACGACGATGATAAGCGCCTGGCTCGCATACCATCGACTTCCTGTCGCGCGACAATTTGGTACATGTACCAGAGAGCATGGGGACCAAGCGCATTCGAACGATTACGTCGTTGAAACGCAATTTTCAAATATTCGAAAGAATCGACCGAAGCCTGGGAAACATAGCGCCGCGGCCGGTGCGACGCTTGCAACGTCGAGAAAAGGCGTCGTTCTATTTCTGCGTGAAAATTGATCCATTCGGGTTGCCGCAATTTCCAAGCGTATCGCGAGTGTTTCTAAGACAGTCCTCGATGATCGCGACGTTGACGCAAACCGCGTTGCATCCAACCGCAACCGTATATAGTCCATAATTATTGAAACTCTTTTAAAGACCTTCTTTGCGAGTCGTCTGAGGCTGCCACGAGGCCAGGACAGAGAAAGGCTTCGTTTTAAACTCGACGCGAAGCACCTGGCCGGCTATAGCCGATAATGCTTATGCACGACTTGCTCCGACCACTTTGAACTTGGAGGGTCGTGTAAATCGCATGGAAAACGGGGTAGTAGGTCACTCGACGATGCTATGCTACATTCCGCGATACACGTTAACGTATTCTTCCGAGAATTTCCCTCGATTATACTCGATCCACTTTTACTTTTACGTGGCGTCGTGTAAACTGTAGGATACTTTGACGCTGACACCCTTTGTCCGCGCTTGACGCTCTGTGTCCGTGCAAAATGGTTGCGTGGAAACGTTCTTTTAACCATCAATTGCCTGTTTCACGTAAACATTGCATGCTCCGCCTCGTAAACGTTTCGCTATCGAACGATTCGCGACTGACGCGAAAATCGAAGTCGATTGGAAATTCCTAAAAGTCGAATCTACCGTGAAATATTTGTTTAGAGATATCGACGATTCTATATAT